CATTTCAAGTTCTAAAGAATAAGGGAAAAGCCTATTTCAGGCTGGGGAAATAGTTGGGTACAAAAGTTGTGTGCAGACATTTATCATGTTCCTGGAGTTGAAGGTCTAATGGCAGAGGTGTGGCAGGTATAGCCAAGGTAAAGTGACAGAGAAGAGTTGTCTGCAAGCCAGGATAAGAAGCCTAGGTTTCACTAGGTGCAGTGGGAGGCTGTTGAGTTCTGATGGGGAAGTGATAAGGCCTGGCTTGCTATTCTCTCGTTTATTTCTCTTTTTCTTTTTTGATTTTGAGGATTTAACCCAGGACCTCACATGTGCTAGGCACGTGATCTACCACTCACTTAAAATCCTGGCCCTTTTATTTTTATTTTTTAAAGTTTGAGGCAAGGTATTACCAAGTTGTTTCAGCTAGCTTTGAACTTGAGATCCTCCTATCTCAAGGTCCTAAGTAGCTGGAATTGCAGATTGTGAGCCAACCTGCCTGGCTTCTCCCTTTAGTAGTAATGAGATGAAAAAAGTTTTTTGACTAATTTAAATATCCTTTCAAAGATGAAGTCCTGTCTTCTAAAAAGTTTACTTTTTAAGCTTAGTTACATATTTTAAAATCACATATCATGAAGTATATTGCTTAAGAATATAGTTTTCTCTTACATTTCGGGAAACAATTACAGTATTTTCAAATTTCTCATGTATTTGACCTTAGTTGAGTTTGCTGTTATCAAAGAATTTTTTTTTGTTGTTCTTTTGGAGCAGGTTCTTGCTATGTTGCTTAGGCTGGCCTTGAACTCTGGGGCTCAAGAGGGCTTCCTGCCTCAGGCTCTTAATAAGCTGGAATTATGGGTGGGTGCACACCATCGCACTTGTTTCTTGAGAGCTACAGTACTTTTTGAGTCTGGGCTGCAGATTTAGCTCAAGGGCACTTGAGCCTGCCTCACAAGCTCAAGGTTCCAAGTCTAGTCACTGGTACCAACAAAAAGATAATCAAACAAGAGTCATTAACAGATTTCCACATACATGTATGTTTCATTTGCATTTGTTTGGAATGTAGTGCTTTTGGTTTTGAATTATGATACTGCCACTGGAAATTTTCTACCAAACCACAGGTGAGGATTATATTATGCTAGGTATTTTGATCATCCTATAGGTATGGGTTTGAAATTTATACTCTTAACCATTCGTATTTTTAAAATAGTCTTTCTAAAACTTGCTTGCATTGACAGCTTAACAGTGGTGAGATACACTCTCAGGGATAATTATGTAATATGTTAATTAACTGATTAATTTATTTAGATGGCACCAGGAATGCCAAACAAGCATTAATTGATCTTGTTTTGGGCTGTCTTTAAGCTTTTTTGCTGTTTAGCTTTTTTAGTCTTTTAAAATAACAAAACTAACCTCATTCCCGTTTTCTGTAAGTACTCAGGTGTAGTGATTTTTTTCCTAAAGTATAGTTTTAGAGGAATGGAAAATGATAATTCTTACCTTTTAACCTCTGTTTATTCTCCCAGCCTTTCTTATCTTCTCCCTGTGTTCCTGATCTCAGTTTATGTCATTGACCTTGCTTTTGAAGCACTTTTCTATACAGACAGAAATGGGGTGGGGTGGGGGAGAAAGAGATGAATTAAATTGGAGTTTTGTCTCCTAGGAAACATTTAGCAATGTCTGGAGCGTCCCCCCACACCTTTGTCTTCACTGAGAATGTAGTTTTGGCATCTAATGAAACTGAGACCATGATGCTGCTAAACATTCTATAATGCATAGAATGACCATCAAAAAATTTTTTTTGTTTTTTAAGTTCAAGAACATTTTCAGTTGCCTTGAGTTCTCTTCTTCAGAGTATGCTTTAAGGGCAATTGGTAGATGGACCCAAATTTCTGTAATTCTTCCAAATTGGGCAGACTGCGATTGAAATACACTGGGTGATCATGATGGTAAATCCAAATGATTCTGAACTGGTCTTGATACACATGGCTAACCTTTCAAGTTAAGAGCATAAGCAAAACCTTTAGTTTTTCTTATTCTATTTTGTGGTTAGGATGACTAGATAAATTATATTTTTGGTAGCGTGAGAGAACGATCCTCAATATTTTACTTCCAAATTATTTTCATGGCTTTTCTATTTGGAACATTTTGAAAAATAAATCACTATTATAGTAACACTTGTTTTCCTGTTTTTACAAATGTGAATGAAATTATCCAAACAGTGAGTGCTCCTCTATTACCACACTGAGGTGATGCAGTTCAACTAGATTCAGTAGCTAGAAAACTGATTATCTTTTTGACTTTTTGGAATATTAAATTTTAATCTTTGGATTCTTATTTCTTGGGTACCTTAGAGATTTAGAAATAGTTTCAGGATATAGGAATAGATTTATAATAGTTTATTATTACTGAAGGAAATTGTGTTCCCTGAATTGTTTGGCTTTATTTAATTTAGTAACCTACATATAAGATGTATTCTAAAATATATTTTCAGTAGCTTTCAAAGTCCTCACAATATAAAAATATGTACTAGTATACTAAAAAATGAAGTCAGATTTTTTTTTTTTTGACAACTTGATTTCTGTGATCAGTTTAACAATGAAGGCTGCTTTTGCCAACTAGGCTCCCAGCTTATATTTTCTATAAAATCAGTGAGATATCACAACTTCAGTTTTTGGCAAAGTATTCTTAAAGATAAAACTGTTTTACCAAACACTGAGCCATATTCTTAATTGTGTACTATTTATTTAAAATAAAGGTTACCTATTTATTTATTTATTTATTTATTTATGGAGCCAAGGTCTCACTATATAGTTGAAACTGATCTGGAACTCACTATGTAGCACAGGCTGGTCTCGAACTCACAGCGATCCTCCTGCCTCAGCCTCCCGAGTTTTGGGATTACAGGCATGTACCACCACACCCGACTAGGTTACGCTTTTAAATACCTGGGATGTTTAGAAGTTGCTAGTAAGGGAAAACATAACATTTAATAATTTATTTTGATACTTTATCAGTTTATAATACTTATGTTATCCTGATAACACCAAAAATCTGGTGCCAGAAAATTTAACGTGTAAAACAATATAAATGTTAAACTTTAGTATAATAGACTAATTTGCCAGTGTTCTTATGTGGTATTTACCAAAGCATTCAGAGGTGAAGTGTGTTGATGTCTACATCTTACCCTGAAATAGTTCAGATAAAAAGGAGAAAAAGGAAATAGAGAAAAGGCCAAGAGCTATAAAGTGCTAGTTTAAAGTGCTTGGTGGGTATTACTTATTGAATATTCTTTCATCTTTTCTGAACATTCTTTAAAACAAAGTTAAGAAAAACTTTATAGTAACAGGAAATAAAATAATTTTTAAAGATATGTTTGAATATTATGAGAAATGACATCAGAATAAAAATGTATTCATAGGATAAAATTATGTGAGGAAATTAGAATGGTTTATCAGTTTTTGTAAGTGGATGATGGAGGGTATGAAATTACTGTGGTCTTCAGAGTTCACTGGATTCCTTGAGAAGTGATGGAACTATTTTATTTTAAAATGCCAGTTTTATGTCACAAACAGCATCCTCTGCAACTCTTAATTACGTTGAAAGTTTTTAGATTCCAAATAGAAATCTGCATGAAGGTACATAATTTTTCTTTTGTGGAGAGTAGGATATGGATAGGTGTGACTTTCAGCAAGGAAATTGTATAATTTATGAAGTATAATCACATAACTCCCCAGACCTGGACTATCCCTGTAGCTTCACTAAACTGCAGCTGCTCACAGCGATAATAATTCATCACAATCATGACACATTTTTGTGTTATTTTGTCATTGTTTTTGGTACTGTGGATTGAACCCAGGGTTTTACACATTAGGTGAGTAGTCTACCACTGAGCTAAATTGCTAGCCCCTTTTTATTTTGAGACAGAGTTTCACTAAATTGCCCATGTTGATCTCAAATTTGGGATCTGTCTGCCTCAGCCTCCCAAGTAGCTAGGACTGTAGTAGGCATGCTACTACCCCCGCCTTACATACTATTTTTTAAATCACAAAATTAATTTATGACTTTGGAATTTATTTTTATATTTCTAAGGTGTTGTGTTAAAAAAAAAACCAAAAAATTGCCCAGAAGAACCTAGTGATATTTACTCTAACTTGAGGTCTTATTAGAGAGATTTGGAATATGTCCCATGATAGTTGTGTCACAACTATGTCCTGTAGTACTTACTGAATTATTTACATATTCTTCTAAAGGGTTAAGATTTAAATTATAGGTTGGAAGAGTGTGGCACATATGGTGCAACAAGTGCAGATTATGCAAGACTGCAGGTGTTGAAAGCCATGTGTGCTACTTCTGCCTTCAGATGTTAAGAGAACATTATTCCTTTGATAGATCAAGCTGGCTGATTCATGGAGAGACTTATGAAACCTTATCAAATGTTTCCTTGATCTTATATTGAAAGTGGGAGACTGTAGAGGTTTAATTGAATGCAGGTTTAAAAGTCTATATTTTCTTTCTTTGGGGGTTTGTATGTGTGTTGAGACAAGGCTCTCGTATGTAGTTCTTGGTGGCCTTGGGCTCTCTATGTAGTAACCTGGAGCACATGGTGATCTTCCTGCCTCAGCCTCCTGAGTGCTGCAATTACAGGTATGTGCTACCATGCCTGGCTTAGCTTTTTTCATAAGCTATATTTTATCTCTTTTTTACTTTTTTGTTTCTTTTATAAGGAGTGAATAGGGAGTAGAGTTTCTCAGAAGTACTGATTATATGACTAAATCGTTTGACTTTTTATGTATATTCAGAGAGAAGTTAAGTCTCGTGTGAAAATAGTTGTCTAATAATTAAATAAAATTGTTCAGATAGGTTAATATTTAACCTATCTTGTGAGTTTTTCTAGAGGTTATTTGAATACATATCATTTCATGTTCTAATAAGATTTTAATGGTGATTGTTAGTTTGATATTCTCATTTTTATTTCACTCTGAAAAATGGTTTTAACTTTTTTTTTCTTGACAGAGCAAATTCGATTAAAGAATATCAGAAAAGTATATGGAAGATGTATGTGGTATCGTTTGCGGTTATTAAAACCCCAGCCAAATATTATCCCCACTGTAAAGTAAGTAATGGATTTCAATAAAAAGCATACCTACTGCTTTTAATCTTTGCTAAGTATCATACAAAATAGGGGTATGATGATGACTAGGATATGTGTCTGTAAAGAAATTGCAGACTGTAATAAAGGTTAAAATATAATTAGTAAGTTACAGCTGTCTGAACAGAGTGTTTTAGGAGTCCAGTGTTGGAGAAAGAGATAAGTCAAATTTTGAATGAAGACCTTATATACCTTGTTATGATTTGAGTCTTACGTTAAAGTCTATAGGGGAATCTTTAAAAGATTTCAGAAGCATGCACATGACATGATCAAGTTGACATTTCATTGTGATAATTAAAGTTTATTGAGTACATGCTGTTAGACAGGAGCTTTATACATTATCTCATTTAATTCTATGTTAACTACAAAGTAAATGTTTTTGCTTTTCCTCAGACTGAGACTAAGATGCAGGTATAAGTTCTGGAGCCAGCTACCTAGTCAACCTTTATTTTGACAGGATACTTAAACATGCCACTAGCATGTTCAGTTAGAGCATTAAGATGCAGGTATAAGTTCTGGAGCCAGCTACCTAGTCAGCCTTTATTTTGACAGGATACTTAAATATGCCACTAGCATGTTCAGTTAGAGCAAACCTGTTTGATTCTGTGTTAATTCAAGGGACTTAAATTGTATGTCTTTGTAAGGTTTGATTCTGCCTTGTGTAAGGAGAGGAAAACTTAGCTTTGGTATTAGTGTTAATCAGTGATGTAAAACTAAAGGCAAAATTAGGCTTGACGAATAGCTTTCTATTTACTTTTATTTATTCTTTGAGGTTGGCTTATTTTAAGCTTTTGTGAAACATCAGGGACAGTATTTTTATAATCTCTCAATCGTCTTTTTCTGGTTTTGTTCTATGCTTTTTTAGCTTGAAAATCTGTTTTCAAGGAAGAAAAAACGACCAAAACACTTCTGAAGTTTTTTTCCTCCCCAGTGGTTAATGAACTGATTTAAAGTGTAGATTAAAGAAGTAATTAAATTATCGTAGCAATGTAGATAAGATTAGAAACTATCAAAACTTTTTGTTTGATGCTTAATCCCAAGCATTGTGTAGTGCTTCTCTTTTCAAAGCATTCCTGAAACTGAAGTTTGTAATTTTTGGAAGTTGTTTTCACAATGATATATAGAGCGTGCTTAAAGAAAACATGCAGGACTTCACAGGATAAAAATTGAATAATGAAGCTACATGCAGGGAAAATGCCTCTTTTTAGGGAGCTAAACAGGCTGAGAAAATCTGGCAGGAGCATGATGTAATCCATTATGATTTTCCACCTTTGTTTTGGCACTCGGGAAATTAGACCGTGGTTTAGTGGTTGTGGTAGTTTTTACCAGCCTGATACTAAACTGAATAAGACCCAGTGCCAAGGAAACTGTAAACAAATCAGAAGAGAAAAGTTATGGTTTATGCTTCTTTGTAGCTATAATTACCATCTCCCATTGATCATCTTGGCCAAAGTTAAGGATTGTTTCTTGGAGGTAGACCATTTGTGTTGTCTTATTTTTAGCTTTATATTTTTATTAGTACATATTTCTCATACATATCGATCACATTCATCAAAGGAAATTTGTACCTGTACATAATACATCTTGCTCCTTTTTTTTCCTATTTCCCTCTCCTCCCTTCAACCTGTTTTTCCCCTCTCCATTTACAAAAACTTTGTTCCATTTTTTTGTTCTCTTTTTTTCCCCTTTTTCCTTTCCTTCTCTTCCCCCTCCCTTCCTTGTTCCCCTTTCCATTTGAACACATTCTTCCTACTTCCCAATATCTATCCTCCATTATGTTCCTTGTTTACTCTTTGGGTTTCTCACACAAGAGAAATAAAGTGATATTTAAACTGTGTGTCCAGTTTATTTCACTTAAGATTGTGGTCTCGAGGTGTATCCACTTTCCTACAAATGACTCAGATTCATCCATATAGCAGAGTAGTACTCCATTGCATATAAATAACACATTTTCTTTGTCCATTCGTCTGTGATGGGCATATGGGCTGTTTCTAAGTTTTAGCTGTTACAAACAGTGCTGCTATAAACATGGGTATGCATATATCACTGTGGTATGATGCTTTTGACTCTTTCAGTAAGATACCTAGGAGGGGATTGGGTTGGGTCTTAAGGATGAATAGAATTGGGGTAGGTGGAGAAGCAGATAGGAATTTTTGGTGGAAAGATAGGAATGCAAAAGCATGATGGTTGGGAAAGCTTAGAGAACATTGGGAAAATGAGAATTTGTTTTGTTTGAAAAATCAGGATGATAAAAGTTAGCAGTTGAGGTGGAACTTGATTATTCCATATGATTCCAGATGGAGAGTATCACTCTAGGTGAGCAGTGTACTTTAAGCTAGATTCTTATCATAAGAGCTTAAACACTGGGCAAACTTTTCAGTTTGAGATAAGTCAATCTGTTTTATTTGGTCTTCTGTGATTAATTTTGTTTTTGTTTAACAAATCTTATTCATTATAACAAATTGCTGTGTGAGGGTTATATAAAATTAATAATTTCATTTCATCACCTAACAGTATGATGATTATACATTTATTTTTAGTATACTATTTTATTTACAGAAATTGCATTTTGCAGAGCTTGAAAGCTGTTTGCCTTTTAAATTCAACACATTACATTTTACTTTTGTGGCTAGAAGGTATTTCAGTGTATGATTATACCATTAATTTATTTGTCTAGTAAGTCTGTTGATGGATATTTGTAGATGTTTGTTGTTTGTTTTGCTATCTAAATCTGTAACTACCCTTTTATATTATATATACTTAATTCTGGTTTATTTCCTTCTACATATCTTAAAGTGGAATGGGCTGTAGATGGAAAGGGTATGTTCTTCTGTAGGGCTTTCCTAACCCTTATAAACAGATAGTGTTCAGAGTATATGTGTTTTTCTTTAGCCTCTCCACAACTGATTCCAACATCAGTATTTCAAATACATTTATTAAACAGAACACATTGAAGAAGCAAGAAATTAGTTGTCTTTTCAAATTATAAATTCTTTTATATATTTTTAATGAATGCACATCTTTTTCTATCTATATTGGCTATGAATGTTCCATTGTGTAGCTGCAGTGTGGTTTATTTAATTAGACTCTTGTAAGGTTTATTCAGTGAGCTCCCTGAAAATGGAGATTAGGTTATCTCCAAAGATTTACCGTTATCAACAAGGCTGTTTATTCATCTTTGCACAATTGACCAGTTATTTTTATTAATAAAATTGCCCTTGACCTAGCAATTATACTTTTAGTAAGATAAATTCTTTTTTATATTATATGACTTACTGAACACTTAATACATATATATTTTGATCTAATTTAATGAGTCCAATAAAGTAATAAGTTGAATTAACTTTTATACTTGAAATTCTGTAAATAGTGAGAAAATGTATTATAAGGGAGAAATAACTAGATTCTTGAGAATTCAGAGGTGAAAAAGGTGTTGTCTTTGCTGTAACAAGAGTTTTCAGGTCTGCAGTTGTGGAAGTTGAGTGATAAGAAGAGTGATAGGGAACTGCTTTCAATTGTTTTATGTCTTGACCTTGACATAATGTCATTAGACTTGCACAGGAAAGCCATTCCAATGTATTTATTTATATTTCATTTATTTTTTCCTAACAGAAAAATAGTTCTGCTTGCAGGATGGGCGTTGTTCTTATTCCTTGTATACAAAGTTTCCAAAACAGACCGAGAATATCAAGAATACAATCCTTATGAAGTATTAAGTTTGGATCCTGTAAGTAATTTTATATAATGCTCTTAAGGCCATATCTAAAAGAAATTGGGCCATGCCTAAAGAAAGCAGACCTTGGTCAGTTAAATTTTTTATTAAAATGAAATACTGAATTCATTATCATTCCAGAGTATTTTTTTTTTCAATGCCTCAGCTTTTGATTATCACATTATTAAGGAATAATTTATAATTGCTAAAATGTAAGAATATTTAAAGATCAGAAGTTAAAAAGACATCTGTGAGACTGGTTTAGTGAAAAGTTAAAAATAAAACTGGGAGGTTATTTGTATGGTTAGAATGGTATAAATCATACCAACTTGTGTTGATTAACCTTTAGGCAGTTTGTGAAGGTTGGAATGAGAGATCCTATAAGGAACTTATTGTCACAGAAATTCAAGTTAACATTGGGTATGCTCCTTAGGTTCTTCATTGAATTTGATTGGTGTGTCCCCATAGAAAATTAGTCTTTTGGTTATATCATTAGAACATTAGAACTGAAATTAATAGAAATCATGTAGCTTTTTTCAGGTAGAGAAAACAAGGCCTAAAAATCTCACTTGGGATCCTATAGCTTTTTAGTGGTCAGATTGATCTAGTGTCTTTGAATTTTTTCCACAGACCTCATTTTTTTTTTCTTTTTAACTTCTGGATTCATATAAAGTAAGAGTATGTTCATCTTCTAGTTTTCTACTTTGTAGAAGAAAGTTTGTATATAATCTTGATTTTTCTTGTGATGATCGTGGCAGTCAGGAGTGTAAGATTAAAGATGAGAAGTTAAAAAGACATCTGTGAGTGGTAAGGATTTAGCTCAGTGGGTCTTCCACCTGCCTTGCAAAGGCAAGGTCCTGAGTTTGATCCGTGGTGAAAAAACAAAAAACACATCTGTGAAATGATATGAAATGTTATTGGTATAAAGTGAGACTGACTTGGACACAGGCCAACTTATTAAATATTGTATTAAAATACTGGTAAGTAATCGAAACCAAGAATTCAGGTTATAAGGGAAATTAACTTTTGATTTGAAGGTTTTTTGAATTAGTCTTAATTTACTTAATTTACTGTGATCATTTTTTGATATCTGAATATCAGTATACTTGTATTTTAAATTTGGCAGTATATAGTTTTATTCTTAAATCATCAGTGCCTAGCAAACTGCATGAAACACTGTATGTATTCAATAAAATAAATATGTAGGACAAAGTAAATAGTTTTTATTTAAAATACAGGATAAAATTTATGGGACAAAATCTATAGGATGAAGTAAATGTCAGTTCTTTTGTTACGATATTGAATAGTTCATGTTCAGAATAGGTTCAAAATATGATGTATTATTTCTTTACAACATTGTGCTTTTTACTAACACAAAATTGTTTTTGTTTTTTAAGGGAGCAACAGTAGCAGAAATTAAGAAACAGTATCGATTGCTGTCACTTAAATACCATCCAGATAAAGGAGGTGATGAAGTTATGTTCATGAGGATAGCAAAAGCTTATGCAGCGTAAGTTCTGTAGGGCCGATCGTACCTTTTAAAGAGAGATAAAGCTTGTTTTCTGTTTTAATAAAATAAATGCCATATATGCTTTTACTAATACTAGCTTTATAGGTTTTTGGGTTTTGTTTTTTTTTTTTGAGTCAGGGTCTCACTATGTAGTTGAGACTAACCTGCAACTCACTATGTAGCCCAGGCTGGTCTCAAACTCACAGTGATCCTCCTGCCTCACCCTCCCGAGCACTGGGATTACAGGTGTGTGCTACCATGCCTGGATAGCTTCATAGGTTTGAGCATATCACTTTTGGAACTTCTCAGCAGCTCTAAAATTATAATTTAATTAAACCTTAAGTTTTAAGGAATTTAGAGTTGGCATTAGGGTAATGTGGCCTTAGTTAAATTTAGTAAGTGATGAGTTAATTGAGCTATTTTCTAAGCATCCTGAATAGAAAAGGATATATGCATACTTAGTTATTAAGGCCTTTATTAAGCTAGATTTGTTTCTCTTTGGCAATGCAGTCATCTCATTTTAACTATTTAAAAGCAAATTTAATTTTTAATTTCATTCATTTTTATACTTCATCTTTTTAGAATTTTATTGTGATCAATTCTAATTACTTTATTGTTAAATGTATTTTTTGAGATGTAGGTTTTTTAATTCTTTTTGCTTAGAAACTTCTTTAAGAATCTTCACAACTTGCATAGTTTCTTTGTTGGATTCGATACAGAGTGAAGTGAGCTGTGTTATTATAAAAAACATTAGTCTCAATTCATGGTGTATATATTTGCATTTATAAACTTTGAGAAACTTTTTTTTTTTTTTTTGGTATCGGATCAAACTCAGAATCTTGTGCTTGTGAGGCAGTTGCAGTGTCAGTGAGCCAAATCCCCGGCCCAAGGAACATTTTTGTGCAAGGAGATTAATTGTGTAAAATTATATAAATTGTATAAAATTAATGTTACAAGAGATAAAAGAGCTGGAGTCTTCAGGATTCCTGATGAGTACATCCTCACACAGCTATTATATTGTATTAAAGGGTAAAACATAAAGGGGGATACAGTGATATATAATGTATAATTTTACAAACTAGTTTAAAGAATATACATAAATTATAGACATATAGCAAACCGAATGTGGCACGTGAATGACAGAAATTTGGGAAATGTCTTAACTGATTTTTATGCTTAGTAAAATATAGACTTTGTACCTATTTCCTGCATTTTCTATGGATTACTGGTTATATATGTGACATCTATGTGATTTATCATAAGGCAATGTCACCCAGGAACTTCTGAAGTGGGTAGTTATGTTTTGTGCACAGCTGGTGTCTTTCTGATTGCTGTTTTTCAGTTAGTGCCTCCCCTTTCCTTTTTTTCAGTGTGTCTTCTTCAAGCATTTGCTCTTTTTGCACAGATATTGCTATGCCTTAATTGCTGTCTTCAGGTAGTTTAAGAACTGAAGATTTCCAAATGAAATTAGATAGCCAAGATTATCTAATTTGTAGCCTTGATTTTAATGCTTTTACTCCTCTACCCCAAGTCTTCTATAACAAGTTTGTGGTTTTTTTTGCTGGTTCTATTTATCATGTACAGTTACTTTCCTAAAATGTGCAGAAAAATAAGGCTGTTTTAACTCAGTTTTATGATGAAATTATAGAATATTTTGCATATACAATATCATAAATAGTTGATGGTTTGTCATTCCAGGGAAGTAAAATGATTATTGGACCCAAAACTTTGAGACCTTATGATTTATACAAGTCCAACTGAATTAGGCAGAGTTGTGTATTTTATTAAATATAAGTTCTAAGTTATTTATTAAAGCTCCTGTTTTATATATCTAGCAGCCCCAAGTTAACTCAAGCAACTTTAGCAGTGCAGTTACATAGGCTTTGATTTGCAAAGATATTTTAGGATTTGCTTTATTTGGGATTTTTTTCTTCCTCTATTTGCCCATTATAATACTGTAAACTAGCTAGGCTGTTCCTATTTTTTCATATCACATTCTAACTTGTAAGCAAGGAAGACTGGTTATTTTTGTTTAAGACTTTGGCATTATCTATTTCATTCTTCTTAACACAGTCAAGATTGGGCTTTCATGTGTCGCAGTTATCTTTACATTGCTGTGGAGTAAGTGGGCAGCATAGGTGTTACTTTGGAGATATTTTTATTTTTTAAAAAAGGTATATGTTTCCATGTGCTCTTATACATGAATATATAACCCAATTTTTCATAGCTAACACATGCTTACTCATAAAATTTAGTGAAAGCATGCTCTATTCTAGCATTTGTATTAATCTGGGGTCCCTGAAATTGTATACATACTTTATGTATGTTTGTATTACACATTTTTCCCAGTGTCAAGGAAGCACCGGTACACTGGGCATGGTGGTATATGCCTATAATCACAGTACTCAGAAGGCGGAGGCAGGAGAATTGCTGTGAGTTTGAGGCCAGCCTGGGCTACATAGTAAGTTTAAGACCAGCATGAACTACACAGTGAGACCCTATCTGAAAAAACAAAAAACAGAAACAAAACTAAAGTGGGGGCATGGTCTTTATTAAATTCTTAGTAGGACTTATATCCCTTCCCCTCACTCCCCTCAAAAGTTGAGATGCAGTCAGTCATACTTAGGAAATAACTATATTCATTGGGTTTTTAAAACTTATGATAATATAACTGATCTTGTTTTTACTTGCTATATTAATTATACTGAAATCACATAGCTTCTATGTAGTTTAAATTCTATTTCTTTGCTTTTCATACATTGAGGAATTTTATTATTTGTTTTTTTTCTTTTTTTAAAAAAATTGAGTTTATTGGTATAATCTAGGTATACAATACAATTACATTCATTATTGGGATCCTGTACCTTTACATGATAGGTCTTGATTCTCATTTTTTCCCCTTGTCCCTGCCCACCCTTCATCCCCTCCTCCCCTCCCCATTTACAAACACTTTATTTCCATTTTTTCAGTTTCTCATATTTTTTCCTCTCCCTTATTACCTTTCCCCCACCCTTCCCACTTTCCCTACACCTTTAACCCTTTACTTCCTATTTCACATTATTAATTATCTCATTAGGATCTTGTGTACTATTATAGTTTTTCACACCAGAGAAACTATTCGGTATTTCAGTTAAATCTCTATATGAACATTAAAAATAGGGAATCCTAAAATAAAACTAAAAAGGAAAGTAAAAGAGAAAAGGCAATGATGTAAAATTAAAATAATCCTTAATTCTGAAGATGAAAATGGTCTTTGAACATATTTAAGTTGCTTATCTTATTTTTTTTCATTATTTAGAGAATACTTTATTAGTTTCTGTAATCAAACCCACGTAGATATGACCTTACATACTTAATACAGTGCATTACCTCAGTAGAAATGGAAAAAAAAATTAACTTTCTAGACCAATATGGCTGTTAATTTCTGTACAATGCCAACTCAACACAGTAAATTGGGATAACTTTTTCCAAAGTCAACAGCACCATTAGTTTCCAAAAATTCAAATTATATATATGTATATATGTATATTTATATTTATATAAAAAGACCAATAATAGTATGTTATGCATCAATAGCAGCAACAGCTTTTCCAGGTTCTGTAGTCATCTGAGCAAAATTATAGACATTCAGCACACTCCATTAAAAATCAAAACAAAACAAAACAAAACAAAGAGAAGAATAACACCCAGAAAACAGCAAAGTTCTGTTGCTGTTGTGGTACCTGGCACCATTTTTTTTTTTATTAACATCTTAATCATCATCTGGAAAGAGAACATTCTAGAGTAATATCATTAAA